CAGTGTTTGATTGTTTGTTGTGTCTTGTTGCTTTTCTTCTTCTCTCTCTCCTCTATCCACTCACCCCAACCGGTCGAGGCAGAAGGCCGCCCACCAAGAGCCGGGGTCTGTCGGAGGTTTCTTCCGTTAAAGGGAGTTTTTCCTCCCTACTGTCGCCAAGTGCTTGTTCAAGGGGGATTTGTTGGGTTTTCCCTCTGTAATAATATTGATAACAGTAACTTTACTTTGTAAAGTGTCCTGAGATGACTTTTGTTGTGATTTGGCGCTATACAAATAAAATTTGATTTGATTTGATCGAGGCTTATTATGGTCATATTTAGCCTTTATACCATGTAATGTTGATCAACCAGTGAAAGGGTGTGAAAGCCAACACTGTGTTATTGAATAGGTGAGAATATATGATTTTTAAACCCAATATACAAAACACAGACATGCCACAATCCTGATATGCTTTTTTTTTAGTAACTTAGGTTCACATCAGGTCAGACTTCGACTATTTCATTATAATTCTAAGGGAAATTGTAGCAGTTTACAAAATGTATAATTTGGTGAAAAACTTGCAGTAAAAAACTGTGGTATGCTGCATGTAATAGGCCATTTGTTACACCAAACTAGTTATTGACATTTGTGCCATCTGTAGCTGTGTTTTATTAAAGTGCATTAGAATCTGCATCAGCATTTGCCTCTCGCTGGGAACCTTTATTGGAAGTATACAACAGTGGGAATGCAAATGCTTTTTTGGGCTGTCCCTGGTGGGAATTGAGGCTGGCTGGTGGCTGGTGTCATGTAATGCTCATTATGGTGCACAGGGTAATTATGCGGTGTGTAAATCTTGCATAGCTGGGCACATAATGATTTTGCAAGAAGTGCAGCTAACAGTTCATTATTGATTAATCTCTCAATTAACATTTTCAGCTAATCAATTTGTCTGATCATGTAGTGCCTGTAAATGTCAAAAACAATAACTAAGACCTATCTCAAGTTACCAGGACAAGTGTGATGTCCTCAGCCTACTGATCTGTTAAAAAAGTGCCAGTTTCACCATGACAATACACAAAAAGTAAGAAATGTTATCATTAGTGATCCTCTAGTGAGGAATTGCCTTTCAAATGACAGAAATCATTTACATTTTCAAGAAAAGATGCCTGACATTTGATGGTTGGTTGGTTGAGGATATTCTGCTTTTCTTTGTTTTATTTAATTTTATTGTAAACCTTGGATTTGGGACTGTTGGTTGAGCAAAACAGGCAGCTGAAGGTGCCACTCTGGGCTCTAAGAAATTTAATCTGTGCTTTTTACTTTTTTCTGATTAACAAAATTGTGCAGCAGATGACATACAGACACACCAGCAAACACTGGCAGCCTTTCAGTGTAAACAGAGAGCTTTCTGAACCCTCCTTCTCCCCTTTAGTAACTGTACCCTGCTCCTTTCCTGCAGCTTGCACACCTCCTTCACATGATCAGTTGTCATATCTGAGGCTTATGACCCAGCTGTCTCTGCTCCGTCTCCTCACTGCACTTTATTTTTCCTACAGGGCTAATGGCATTCAGGAGGGCCCTGAAACGAACGGTGATCATAGGTGGCGGGACAGTCGGCACATTGTTTGGCCTGTTGCAGCTAAACGAGTACAGGAAGAAGCATGTAAGTTGATGAGAGATGCCACCTCTCAGTTTGTGTGCTTTTTGAAGAGTCACTGCATCAAACATATGGTAAACATTCAGTTTTACAGAATTAGCTGAGTGTTTTCAGATTTTACTTGTAATGGCAGCTGCTAAATGCAAGGACAACGTTTATATTCTTGCACATTTTAGTCATGATAGCAGTAACATTTTGAGTATTTTCTAGTATTTTCTTTTGGCCTGAAAATAAGCTAAGCAGGGAGGCACTGTCTTTCAGGGCATGTCGATTCGAGATTTTGGAATGTGTTTTCTTTTCCACAGTGCTGTTGAGCTTAACATTCCCTTAGATCTCAGCAGCAATGACTTCATCCAAGAGCCGGGGTCTGTCGGAGGTTTCTTCCGTTAAAGGGAGTTTTTCCTCCCCACTGTCGCCAAGTGGTTGCTCAAGGGGGATTTGTTGGGTTTTCCCTATGTAATAATATTGATAACAGTAAGGTCTAGACCTTACTTTGTAAAGTGTCCTGAGATGACTTTTGTTGTGATTTGGCGCTATACAAATAAAATTTGATTTGATTTGATTTTTTTTATTGGCTGCTTACCAGCTGCTGCGCAGGAGGCGTCACATCATTTGCAAGCATGCCAACACCAGATCTGAGCTGCTTAGAAATGATGTACCACCGGCTATTTACTACATGCTTATGGAACTAACCGCCTCCAAATTTGTGGCCTAATAAAATGGTTTATATTCATAAATTGAAACTGAGGAATTGAGGACAACTTGTTCTGTGAGTCTGTGAGCCCTGGAGGGTGTGACAGTTTTACTATTTGGCATTTCAGACTAAAGAAACAAAGTCAACTTGGTGCACTCTGCAGAAATCTTGCATATTTTTGTGCTTTTATTCAGGCTACATTGACACTTCAATCCTTAAACTCCTCAGAATCTCTTTTATGTGAGGCACCATCAATTTGAGGAATGACAGAAATTCAGTTGAACTTAACATTCCCAAAGTTTTAACGGAAACTAATGACACTTGACTGGTAACACTAGGAGTACCGCTGGCATTGAAAGACACTTGTGTTTCTGTTATTGTCAAACCTTGAAGTGAGCCACTGATCATTTTAATTATAAATAACCACCCAACTTAGCTTCATTTGAGATGGACAAGCAGCTGTGTTTCCCCTGACCTCTGAACGGATGTAGGTCTCTTTTAGACATGCCACACAAATACACACCAGACTTTATTTGACTGTACACCCTAATGTTCACTCTGTTTTGTGCCCTGGTGTGATAATGTCTTCTCTTGCCCATCATCGGCCTCTCATCCAAGCATGGATTGGTAAGCAAGAAGTCAACCCTGATGAAATCTAATTATTTTCACAATAGTTTGTAATCATGCATACCTCTAATCCCAGTAATTGCAATGCTGATGAGATGAATGTCCGTCTAGCCTCCTTTAGCAAGGGCACACGGCATGGAGAAGTTTTCAAGACAGTGGCCAATTGGCTATTAGCATGGGCCTTGCTGTGCCATTCACTGACTTAGCTTGATTACAGGAGACACACTGGAATTTAATTCTGTGGTAGTGTTTGTCTGGATGCATCATCAAAAATAGACAATGATTATATCATCGCCTTGTTTGCGGTTGCAGGCGTAAATTACAAACGCCTGCTACTATTTGCAAGTCAAATGCAGTGTTGGCTTCAAAGCACTTTGATGCAATCATTTAGCTTGAACTACTAAATAGAAAAATGAATAAATATTTCATTAGACATGAAATCCAGCATCCTCATATCAGAGGGGAGCTGTGTTTTTCATTGTAGTTGTGATTATTTCTGCAAATGAATTTTTTGCTAATCAACCAGTAGGTATAAATGATCTTCAGAGACTGGAAAGTGGTTTGTTTTCTGTGTTTTTCAAAGTTGATCAGCATGTTGTGACAGGTAGTAACCCTTAGCAAAGTTTGCTTTGCTTCTAACTGCATCATGAATATCCACTGGCAACACTTGAGCAACACTTGGCAACTAAAGGTGAGAATGAGACTTCATAAGCACATTATAGTCTCATTTTCTACCAAGGAACGCTTCAGAAGACCAATCTTGGATTTGAACAAGCAATATTATGAAGTAAAAATAATCTTAAGACATAAAAGTCCTGCATTCAAAATATGGCTGAAGTAAATGTATATAACCGCTATCTTCAAACTGTGGTCAAAGCAGTTATCTAGCAGCTGTTATATTCTCTGATTACTGTTAGCGATGCATCACAGCAGTTAAAGCTAGTATAGACTACTTTACTGTATATGCTGTTGGGTAGTTTAATCCTTAACAAGGCACCACATTTTATAAACAAATTACTTTTTTGTAAAATTAGAATCTTCAGTCAAATATAGTGGAGTAAAACATAGTATTTCTCTCTGAACTGCAGTGGAGTTCAAGTACATCCTAGTGGTCTGATGGTCCAGATGTGTATCATTTAACTTGACACGTTCGATTTTAGCCAGACTCTCCAACTCTCACGCTATCACATAAAACCTAAATACCAAAAAATCTTTAAATAATAAATGTCAAACTGAAAATTATCATCAGCCAGGTTTGTTTTGTTATTTATTTTTGTAAAATAATGAGCAGCACTTAACACATTGCTCTCAGGTTTAAAAAAAAAATGTTTTCATCAGCTTTGAAAATCATTGCCATTGACTGGGTTCTCTTAATTTCTTCTAGCCAATTAAGAAAATACATCAAGATTTTTGTGAAAAATTACATTATGCTGCCTTACATACATTTTATCCATTACAACACATTAATGCATATTATGAGCGAGCATACAACTGTATGTCTTGCACTACACAATCACACTAGGTCCATAATGTATTCCAATGATTGCAAGCTATTATTCAGTATGTCACATGTGATTTTATGAAGTGATTGTAATGCAAGAATAATGCATAAAGACATGACAGTGGGAATGTGCTGGCAGTGTGCTTATACTGTTTCTGAATACACCTCAAGGAAAGTGTTGCTATATTTTCTCGCAGTTGTATTGTTTTAAAAGAGTTTAACATAGTATTTAAATAGAACTAATCTGAAACCTGCTGTTTTGCTAACTTTAGGCAATAAAAATGAATCTTTAAGCCTTGAAAGGGACCATGGCCATTGTACTTTTGTTGGTAAGTGTGTATCTGTGTCACATCCAGGCTCGGTTGTCCTACGTGGCAGCAGAAGCAGAGCTCAAGGTCCCATTTGTGGATGAGCTTCCCTCCCGGCAAGACCAGCTCACTGCGCTGAGAAACACTAAGGAGTTTGATGTTCTGGTTGTTGGAGGAGGGGCCACGGGTGCGGGATGTGCCTTAGACGCTGTCACACGCAGTAAGATCACTTTCATCAGCTCCACCCTGCTTTCAAGTATTCCCCAAGTATTCTCCTGGGATGGAACAGGTTTCAGGCTCTATCCTTGTCCTTACTGAGGCATGATAGATGGAGGGAGACTGGTGTGAAACCAGCTGGTAACAGTTTATAATGGTCCTGGTCCAGTAGGTCAGCTGTTATTATTAGCACAGCATCTTTGTTGTAATTTACTGGAAATACACTTAAAGTGCATACTGTATATCAGTGCAGTGTTTTGCTGGACATTTGCAGCATTTTCCACATTGGAGTCTTTCCTTTCAATTATATACAGTAATATGTTGATAAAACTTTCACAAGGTGATGATTGACCTCACAGGCTTCATTCATTCTTCCCTAACCATATGGTTGATGGAAGGCAAGCTTGATAAACCGCTACTCACTCTCTGTGTTTTTGGGGAAAAAAATGCTAAAATCTGTATTATATGGCTTTAATGGTCATAATGTGTAATTTCACTATTGTAATAAAGATGCTAGAATTGAATGTTCATCAAAACTATGGTAGCAAATTTCAAGAGCAGTTTGAATTATTTCAGGTGTAAAGTATTTTGCATGATGTATTTTTATATCTAGGTTCTCACGTAAGGTCAGTGCAGTAATAATACAGAAACTAATGGAGCATTTATAATTCTTGTGTTACACTTTGACCAGTTTTATTAAAATGCATTCCTTGCTTGGTAAATATAAATGTATGCAATATGCAGTGCAGAAAATAACATCCCACTTCACTGTGTCCTCCTCAGTACTTAAACCAAACCTGCTCTCTTGGTTGAATGACATTTTGAAGCAAACTGTGCAGGTATAGTGACTGAGTATTTGTCATTTGCTGCAGACCTTAAGACTGCTCTTGTAGAAAGAAGCGATTTTTCCTCTGGGACAAGCAGCCGGAGCACCAAGCTAATCCACGGTGGAGTCCGCTATCTTCAGAAGGCCATCATGCAGTTAGACTATGAACAGGTTCTTCTTTGTGTTCTTATTTTTCATCAGCTTTTTCTTGTTGTGCTTTTTTTGTCATTAGCTTTTTATTCGTCCTGTTTTTTTCCTGTTGAAACAGTACATGATGGTGAAAGAAGCCCTCCACGAGCGAGCCAACCTACTGGAGATTGCACCTCATCTATCTGCACCATTACCCATCATGCTTCCTGTATACAAGTAAGTGTCAGACTTGTGCAATTTAAAAAACGTGAAAAGTGAGCGTAAGACGTGTGGGGAAATGCAGCACAAACAAGCCAGTGATGACTGATATATTCCTTTAGGATGATGTTTTTAATCTTTTAACTGTAGTTTTATCTTGATGGAAGATCAGCTCCAGCTTTTGATGACCCAAAATCAGGCCAGAAAATGTAGTTGATGGGTAAAGTTAAAGGGTACGTCAGATGAATTCAGATGGTATCTATCGTTAATCACTGTGTTCATTTCCAAGATGGTGGCAGTTGCCTTACTACTGGGCAGGGATCAAGATGTATGACCTGGTGGCTGGGATCCAGTGCCTGAAGAGCAGCTACGTCCTGAGTAAGACGAAGGCCTTGGAGCTGTTCCCTATGCTGAAGAAGGACAAGCTGGTGGGAGCCATCGTCTACTATGATGGTGTGTCAGCCCTCCCTCATTTTACACCTGCAGAGGCTTTTGGCTTAGATTTAAATGCAATATTTTTACTTAGAAACTTTAAAAGTTATGTCCTTAAAATAACAACTTGCCAGTTTTTTTAACATCAGTTTTGAAACTGTGCCATTCTTTTAATCTGAAAGGGTCAGGAGATGATTAATGGGATAGAAGATAATAAAAAAACATAGTAGTTTAATTGCCTCTTCTCTGTTTTTCTATTTTCTGATGAAATGCAGGGTAGTTTAGCATTTCAGGCTTCTGAAAGGAATTAAGTTAATCCTTTTGAGAGGGGAATTCACTTTAACTTTTTGGACTATTATATCTGGTGTTACACATTGGCATTTCTGTTTTAACTCGTAGCACTTGATTAACTTCTCTTTTTAGAGTCATAATAAAATCAATTTTGAACACACAGACATGACAAATATATTTGAATACAGTGTCATTTCTGGGGGATATCAGTTATCTTCTTAAACTACAAATTCACCAACATGTTTTGGAGGCTAATAGCTGTCCCGAGAGCTTCATTTATATCGCAGTAACATGGTGGCAGATTCTGTCATTTGTGCTGTATTGATACCATACACAGAATATGAAATTGCATTCTTAAAACAAAAACAAACAGCTTATTTGGCTTTTTTGCTTCAAATGTAAATGGACAGTCATACGTAACTGGCAGGCAGGAAAAATGGAAGTGCCTTTTCTTTGTGCAAAGCAGCATATGTTTGATTTCCACCCCCTCTTCATGCCGTCATCTGCTCTGAGGGGGGTACAGGGCTGGGATGGTGGAGGGCTGAGGCGTTTTTTTTTTTTTTTTTTTTTTTTCCAATTTTTGCGTGTGGGAAACTCTCACGCCCGTGACATTTCGAAATCTGACCTTCTCTCCCGGCGGTGTATAGTGCAGAGGAGCGTTGTCGTCGGGTGAAGCGGCAGAGAAACAGTGATTTTTCCTGCTGGCTTGGTTTCTGCTGCTCCTGCTGCCACCAACAACATTAATGGCTTTTTATTTTAAATGTTTAAGTCTAATCCTTATTTTGAATTGGCTGGGTGGTATATAACATGTTTATGTGTCTCAAACACAATAGGTTTAGCTGCTGTGAGTACAGCAGACAGTCGTTCATTGCTGATGCTACCAAAAACAAAGAAAAGCCCACGGAAAACAAAATGTGTGTATGTAGGAATATTTCAGATGAAAAAGTGTATGCCAGATGAACATAACAAACTTCAGTGACTGATAAGGTTAGGGCAGTTTGTACTATCAGAGCAAAATGCCAACTGAGATAGTCTGTACTGATTCATTGTCATTTATATTCAGAACAAAATGAAGCTCCATTGTGATATAAATTGTGTATGGGGACAGATTTCTGTATGTGATAGTAATAGAACTCTGTGCTTCATAGTCATCATTTTAAATTGCTCCTGGCTTTTTAAGTTTTTTACAAGTTGTCTCTCCAGTATTGTTGATTCTTTTCTAATCTGATTTGGTTTTGTAATAGAAATGCTAAGGGACTTTTGCACATGTCAACCCAGCTGAATGTCTACAACCTCTCATCCTTCACACTGCTCTGTCCCCTTCAGGGCAGCACAATGATGCCCGTATGAACCTGGCCATCGCCCTTACTGCTGCGCGCTACGGTGCTACCGTCGCCAACTACACGGAGGTGGTTCATCTGCTGAAGACGAAGGACCCACAGTCTGGCAAGGAGAAGGTGTGTGGTGCTCACTGCAGGGACGTGATCACAGGTGAGACACAACAGTGATGAAAGGATGGCCATTATAAGTATTAATAGCAGCAGCTGTATCAAACAGGTTCAGAAGCCATTGTCACAGGCATCATTAATGTTATTAGTAACACCTGTATGCTGCTGGGTGATCTGTGTGCTAGGAGAGGACGGTGGTTGACATTAAAGTTCAGTGGACATTAGATGGCACCAGAACACCTAAGTGGAACCCAGGGTTAATTAATTGGATCATTAACACCTGTGTGACTGTGGTTTGTAAGGCCTCCTACTGTCTATGTGGGTGACAGAGAGAGGGAGAGAGAGAAACGGTGAGATCAGCTGTAAAGCTGGAGACAGTTTTACTACTACCATTTGGGTTGATATGTCAGCACAAAGAAACCCTGCACAAGTCAGACTTGGCTGACATAATGTTTATTCAGTTGTGCTTTTCACTGAAATACGTCCTGTTTCTCGTATCCTACAAACAAAAAACTGTATTTGACATTTTTCTCTCTTTAAAGGACAGGAATTTGATGTCAAAGCTAAGTGTGTGATCAACGCCACTGGACCATTCACGGACTCGCTGAGGAAGATGGACAACGAGAAGACCAAGAATATCTGCCAGCCCAGCGCTGGGGTTCACATCGTCATCCCTGGTTACTACAGGTACTACATAATACTGCTTAACACATGCATGTCTGTCCTTTAAAGCTGCTGTGAATTTTTATTTAAGTTGTGGATGACATTAAGTTGACAGCTGCATTAACTTGTTCTTCAGTGTTTTCTCATTCTTATGAGTAAATACTAAGCCTGCTAAACAATTATCTGACCTACACTCACATGCATAGCACAGTCTTCTCTGGTTAAGATACAGCACAGCAATAGAGTGGTTTTGTTGAAGTCGGGGGTTTTAAAGTTCAGCGGAGCTTATTGAGTGAAACCCGAGGGAGTGTGAGCCCTTTGAGCAGCAGTAGAAATGCCAACCACCTAATTCTCTTCCTCCCTTTCTCTCATCTTCCTGCCACCCACCCCCTCTTCCTCCCCCTCTTATTTCTCCTATTTTCTTCCTCTCTGACTCCTCTCCTCCCCCTCTTCACTTGTTCTCTACCTTTTGTGCCTTCTTTCTTCAGCACTTCCTGCTCTTCCTCATACTTATTGTACTGCTTTCTATTGTTTCTTCCTCACCTCATCTTCCTCCTCACCCTTGACACAGTTTCAGTAGATTAGAGAGCCTGCTTAACAGGAAAATGAAATGGTCGCAGCAGTCACAAATATGAGACAATAATAACAATAATGACAAATTAGAAATAATAACAGCTGCTTCTATTTCTACCAGTTGTTACCACTGGTATTAATACTAAATCCTCATTTTGGTTTTTCTGGTCAACAGTCCTGACAACATGGGTCTGCTTGATCCAGCCACAAGCGATGGGCGTGTCATCTTCTTCCTGCCCTGGGAGAAGATGACCATTGCAGGAACAACCGACACGCCCACCAGCGTGACGGCCCACCCAGTCCCAGGGGAGGATGACATTAACTTCATTCTGACTGAGGTCCGCAACTACCTTAGCCCTGACGTAGAAGGTACAGGAGTCCTCTGTTGTCCATTCTGAGTATCCAGCACTCGCAGAATAATTTCTTAAAAGCATCTATGAAAGGTTATTCAAATACAGAAAATATGAACTAATCCTGTTGACTGTGTTTGTGTTAAACATCCTGAACTGTTACTCCACATAAGGGTATAGTCACTGTTACACTTAGCATTAGTTCAAAATGAAGTATCTTGGTTAGTCTGTGTCCCACAGAATGAAATGTCATTGTGTGTTTGTGTCTGCAGTGCGTCGAGGAGATGTGTTGGCAGCATGGAGTGGCATCCGTCCTCTGGTGACCGACCCCAACTCCAAAGACACTCAGTCCATCTGCAGAAACCACATTGTCAGCATCAGTGACAGCGGACTGGTCACCATTGCTGGTCAGCTGGTCTTCTTAAATCACCACACCAAAGCTGTGTGATTATTATATTAAAGTGGGAATTTTGTCTGATTCAGGCGGGAAGTGGACTACCTACAGGTCAATGGCCGAAGAAACCCTGAATGCTGCTGTCAAAGCTCATGGCCTCTCAGCCAAGCCTTGCAAGACTGTTGGTCTGATGCTGGAGGGAGCCAAGGGCTGGACCCCGACACTCTACATCCGCCTGGTGCAGGACTATGGACTGGAGAAGGAGGTAAGACACATTTGAGCATTAGAAACAGCATTAGATGGATGCTTTGTACAGGTTAATCAATCGTTGCCATTTGTGAGTATTAGACGTGCTCACAGGTGGATTCTTTGTTAATTTAGACAGGACCAGACCAGCTGATTCAAGTCCTTGTCAGTTCAGCTCCAGCCCTGCACACACCCAGGAGTGATATGAATCCTCTCATGTAACTCTGTTGGCAAGCAAACCCTTAAAATGTTGAGCTTTTTCTTTATTTGCAGCTCTGCCTCCAAGAACAGCTTGACTTACTAAAACATTTTCAGGTGTAGAAGAAACCTTTTTAACTACCCACTGTACACAGGACCAGGTACACTCATTCATGTACATACAGACCTGTAAAAGTACTGCTGTGTTCACCACCAGCAGCAGTAGAGCTGACATTAAAGCCTCTGCTGTAACAATGCTGACATTTCTACTACACAAAACTGGACACACGTTGAAACGCACTGTATGCTGTACAATTTATCAGTGGCATTAAGTAAGGGCACATTGATTTACAGCAGCTACATGCCATCTTTCCAATAATTAGTCTGTTTTTATTAAATCCAATAGGACAGTGTTTCATGAAGAAAAAGTACTTGTGCACCGAGGGCCTACAGTATACTTACTCCTCATTAGAGACGTTCGGCACCAGCTCTGGTGTTCTCTCAAATATTCCTAAAAGGTCACTGTTGATATTTGGACAGCGTTTGCCCTTTCACATGATTGGCAAGCCAACGATCTGAATAGCAAATAGCCCTCTTGTGTTCTGTAAACATATGACACCTCATTGACAAAGTGGTGCTATTGCCTGTCGTTTAACTCCAAAGAGGTGCAATCGATCGTGTGAATAACAGGAGCTGCCACTACAGTCTACAATTGTTTAACCTCCAATGTTCATATTGTGAAAGAAGCAGAAATGAATGTCATCAAAACTCACTATAATCCAAGCAGGAAGTTACAGGTGTTCTTTCACTGACGTGACCTTATCAATATTTTTCAGACTTTTTGATGTTTTTTAACATAGTGTTTTCTGTACAGGTGTTGCAAATATGTTCTTTCATACTGGAGTTTATATCTTGTTTTCTGCGCACAGGTCGCCCAGCACCTGGCCTCGACTTACGGTGGAAAGGCGTTTGATGTGGCAAAGATGGCTCAGGTCACTGGGCAAAGATGGCCGATCGTGGGGAAGAGATTGGTGTCTGAGTTTCCTTACATTGAGAGTGAGGTAAAGTGGGATTTCATGCAAGCTGTTAATAGTTAATATGTTTCAATGTGTATTTTTGTCCAGAAAGGCTCAAACATTTTGAGAGTATGTGTTTTCTCTCAGGTCCTATATGCGATTAAGGAGTATGCCTGCACAGCCATCGACGTCATCGCCTGCCGAACACGCTTGGGATTCTTGAACGTGCAGGCAGCTGACGAAGCCCTCCCTCGCATTGTCCAGATCATGGGAAAAGAGCTGGGCTGGAGTCAGGAGAAGAAAACAGTATGATTTTGCAACCTCTTTTTTTTCTAATCACATTTTTCCTAAACAAGAAGGAAAAAAAATCTTCCAGAAGGTGATGGTGCTACAATCGTTTTGTGCAGGTCCAGCCATCCGCTTCTCTGGTTTGTGTAATATTTCTCCTCAGCCTAGAAAACCATTTGAGTTTTACATAATGCTTTAATCCCCAGTGGGTTTATAGTCCCTGCAGTGTTTCTATTTTTGATCAGTATACAATGGAGAGGTCCACACCCTTTAGCCCTTAGAGGGAAAGCTCTCTGTATGTGTAGAGAGATGAAGTGATATGTGTCTATTTACATGTGCATGAAAACTGAACTTTTAGCTATTTTAAGATGCCATTGTTAACCAGTAGAGGAAAGTTGTGTTATGCCAAAATACTGTGGATTAACTCGTAAACAAGTTGGTCAGTCATGCATCAAATCAACAAAGCCACACTTTTTCCCAAGGTACAAAAACCATCTGACAGTGTTTAGTGATGTTATCATGGAATAATCAGATCACTTCAAGTCTCAAAACAGTTTAGACACCATTAATTGGATGATAGCTCAATAATCTACAAATATTTTAATAATTGATTTCCAGTTTCTTTTTTCAAGAAAAAATGCCAGAAATTTCCTGGTTTCTAGTTTTTCAAATGTGAGAATTAGCAGTTTTTTTGTTGTATGTGACAGTAAACAAAATATCTTAAAGATGTTACTTTGAATTCTGGAAAACGAGGATTTTTGCATTCTGCTGCTTCTTGCACATTTTAGAACTAAATGTTCTAACAATTGTTAGTTGCAGCCCTTTACAAAACAGCAGTAGACATTAAAGTAACACCTCAATGTCAATTACAAACCAGATGTGGGTCTCAGTTTAGATTTTTTGTTGTACTGTAGATAGGGACTGTGACAATGTGACCTACAACCAAGAACAGTATTTGTGTATACAAGGGGAATATTACTTTATATTTGCCTTAAAGTTGTGTTTTTCAGCTGTACTAGTTAAAATAACCTTTAGATATTTCTCAGAGGCTAACGTTCATCATCTTCCCCCATCGCCCTAAATGACAGCGATGAAGAAATGAAATGACATTCGAGATGAGGCTGATTATAGTCTGCAGGCTGAACTGACATCTCTCTGGTCATGTCAAATCCAGGCGGAGCTCGAAGCAGCTAAGAAGTTTTTGTACTATGAGATGGGCTACAGGTCTCGTTCTGAGCAACTGACCAAGACGTCAGAGATCAACCTGGAGTACCAGGAAGTAGTGCGGTAATTATCACCCTTCCTCTTTTTTACATTGCAATCCAAAATCCTTCATTTTCAGTTTATGATGTTCACTGGGGATGTCACTCCCATGTTTTACTTGTTAACATCTCATGTTTTTCCTCCTGCTTTTGTATGGTAGGTTCAGGTTGACTTTATTACTGATGCCACAGTGTCCAGGTCCTAATCGAGATCAGATCTCTCTGAGTTACTTTCTCTGCGCTCTATGAACAGCTTCACCTTCTGAAACCAAATCTGTTCCCTTGGATTCAGCTGTTACATAAGTTAACAATAAAACAGATAAGAAACAACAAAACAAATTTGTTTTCAGTCCCTATAACTTCAGTTAAGAATGATTTATCATAATTTACCATCTGTGGTGAACATATGTTAAAAACATGTGAATATAAAAATCTGTTCAGTTTGTTCTGCAGGTTTTCAGATGTAAACACCTTGTTTCCATTAGACATTAGATGTTGACACATTCCCTTTGTTTGACTAGATATATGCAACACCAAGTGTCCAGCAGTGTCCCTGCAGTGACTTGGATGCACAACATACAGTGAGGAACAGAAGTATTTGAACACCCTGCGATTTTGCAAGTTCTCCCACTTAGAAATCATGGAGGGGTCTGAAATTCACATTGTAGGTGCATTCCCACTCTGAGAGACAGAATTAAAAAAAAATCAGGAAATCACATTGTATGATTTTTAAAGAATTTATTTTTCTTGCACCGCTGAACATAAGTATTTGAACACCTGAGAAAATCAGTGTTAATATTTGGTACCGAAAC